AGTTACGGAATCGAACAAGAGCGACGACGATTTATGCGATTTCTGCAGTGTCGATGAAGAAGAAGAAGAGGAGATGGTGTTTGATAGAGAAGAGTTCTCGAAGATGCTCATGAAAGTTGATTTGGGTGATGCACAAATGTTCGCGAAACTCTCGTATCTGGGGAATTTAGCTTATTCAATCCCTAAAATCAAGGTAAGAGAATGAAACAAAAACCTCATATATGTGTTTCTGAATTTGATCCTGACTTATTTTCGTTATTACAGCCTGATAATCTGTTGAAATATCATAAACTGAGATTCGTGACTTCTTCAATTGAGAAGAGGATGATGAATCTTAAGGCTTCTTCTGAGCAACAAGAGGAGAACAACAATAACGACATATTTTTAATAAAACAGATTTTTTTTTGTTTCGGGTGGGTTTCGGGTTTACAATCGGATTTCGATTCTAAAATCGGGTCAATTACGGTTTACTGTTTTTTAAATCGGGTCATTTTCGGTAAACCAACGATTTTGTTTTCTAAATCAGAAACTTGGCCTACAGTAAACCAAGTTTTAACCGATTTGGGGTGAAATAATCGTTTGATATTCATACTGGGAGGATATAAACGTTTAATAATTATTTTGGGGGGGAAATAGACGTTTAAATTGCATTTTGTGGGGAAGTAGTACGCGATTAGTTATCCGGATCTATCTAAAGAGATATGGACATTTTGGGAGGGGGGAATTAGTACGTTTTTCCCAGATTCCGAATTAATTGATTCCAAATTAATTGATTGATAAACAAAACTAACATGATTTTCAATGTTGTCTCACATGAGAGAAATTAATTTTTTAACGAAAAGGATTAATGAAGACTATTTTAGAAACCGAAATAGAGAATTTGTATCGGTGTTTACATCATTTTCAAATATCACTAGTTTTGTAGTTGTTAAAGTCCATTAATCTCTATTTTTGTGTTGTTTCTTCCTTGATTGTGAATTTATTCGACTGTATTACATTTATATCGACTCGGTTATTGTGGTTTCAAATCGGTTATTGTGGTTTTCTAATTTTTAAATAAAAATATTCAAAAATAAAATGAAAATCTATACGGACGATTTGATTCGGATTCAGTTTACTAATATTTTACTGAAACATATCTTTAATTTCCAAAGAAACTTCGATTTAGATAGTTTTTCCGATTCAAGTTCGATCATCTAAACTGTATTAAGATAT